TTTAATTAATTATCTAATTTATTTTATTTAAGTTAAGGTCTAAAAATAGCTTAAGTTAAAGTAGAGTTTAGTGTTAAGCTTTTTATACTTCTTTTTAAGCAAGAATGTTTTAGAATTGCTTTATAAAAGCATCTAATTTCCCTCTATTTTAACTAGAATAATAAGTAATCTTAAAATTAAAATAAAATAAGTATTTAAACTAATAAGCTTATTAGTAGCTAAGTTATTTTATAGTTACAAAGTACTATAAGTTTTTATAGTTAAATAAAACCTATATTAGATGCGCTACACTTTTTAGTTTAGGTTGCTATTATTTAAAGCAGTATACTATAGTAAGTAATTTTTTATTATAAATCTTATAATTACCTTCTACAGGACTTATTCTTTTTAAGAAGTATGTAATAGGCCTAATAGTTCTATCTAGCTTAGTCTAGGAGAGAACTTCTGCTACTATGTAGTCTAAGGCATTAGCTTTTACAAGTATTAGTAGTTTAAAGTTAAAGTAGTAAAGTATTAAGGCTTTAGTAAAAGCTTTCTTTAGCTAGTTAAAAAACTATTAGTAATTTAAGTTAAAGTTAAATTAAACCTTTTTTTTAGTAAGTGTAATTATAGGGCTTACTAGCTATAAAAAGTTGTTAATAAATTATTAGTAAAAGTTAGTAAATTTTATAAAAGCTTAAACATCTTTTACATCTTTTAGGTATTGCTAATCTAGCATAGTCTAAACTTTAATAGAGTCTATTTAGATGCTATCTGTAAAAATTACATATTCTAAATATGTAACCTTTAATTAGTAAAACTTACATTTATCTATGTTAAGTTATAGACCTACTTCTTCTATAGCTTTTAGCACTAGGCGTATATGCTGTTTATGCTCTAAAAGGCTATTACTGTAGATTAGAATATTGTTAATATACATAGTGCAGAACATGTCTAGGTAGGGTTAGAGCAAGTTGTTTATAAAATGTTAAAAAGTACTAGGTGTGTTAGCTAAGCTAAAGGGCATTACTAGGTACTTAAATAGTCTGTATTAGGTCTAAAACACTGTTAGCTACTTATTACTCTTTACTATTTTTAGCTTATTAAAGGCAGTAATAATATTTAACTTTATAAAATACTTTACTTTACTTAGTTAGCTTAGAGTTTTTTATAAAAAAAGAATTAAGTATTAGTTTTTAATAGTAATAGTGTTTAGTTTTTAGTAGTTAACATAGAATTAAAGCCTACTTTTAAGTTTCTTTATAAATAGTATAAGTAACGCTACTAGTAAGAAGCTAGCTTAAATAAACTTTTTTTTTAAGTTTTTATTAAGGTATTTTTAAAGCACTTTTAATTTATTTAGTAACATCTTATATAGTAGCCTATAACTAAGTTATTTACTAGGCTTAAGAGTTATTTAGTAATTATATAGATGTTATATTAAAAGCTTATTAAACTTGTCTTAGAAAAAAACATGTAATAAGTTATAGTAGTCTTAAAAGACTATTATTTTAAAGTTAGTGTGTTTTTAGGGAGCTAAAGCTTAGTTTATATTAGAAATTATAACTACATAGATTTTATAATCTAGTTATTAAGCTAGAGTTATAAATAAGGCAGGTTCTATGTAGTAAATGTCTATCTGCTGTTTAAGTCCTAGTTTATGTTTAAATTAAGTAAGTAAAAGTTTTTTAAAGGCTTTTTTTTTTTTAGGTTTAAGTAGTTATTAAATTATTTTATATAGCCTATTTTAGTAAAAGGCCTAGCTTATTAGCCTTACTTAAGTAGTTCTTCTTTAGGTTATTAAAAAGTAAGTTTAGAAACTTTTTATATTAAGTACTATTTAAGTGTTGTTTAGGTGTAAGTGTAAGCATATATTTTAGCATTAGAAAGAGTTAAAGTTTAAAACTTACTCTTAGTAATTAAAGGCAACTTTATGCTAATATAGCTATAGTTGTCTTAGGATTAAGTTATAATGTTCTATGTTTATTACATAGAGCTTAATCTGCTTCTTATAGTGTTAGTAAGTAATTATAATAGTTATAGTATAAAAGATAAAACTTTTTTTAAGTTATTTTTTATTAAATCTAGTTAAGTAAATTATTTAGGTAAGTAGTGTTAATTAAAGATTTAGTTTATACACTAGTTCTTTATTAATGTAACCTATGCTGTTTACTTCTAAGTTAATAAAAGCTTATATTAGAGCTAATATAGTTTCTTATTATAAATATATAAAAATATTAACTTAGTACTTTTAGTTATTAGTAAGGGACTTAGCCTATAAGTTAGCAGAGATCTAGTGTTAAATTAGTCCTAAAGAGTAACTTAGCTCTAGGACAAGCCTTTTTGCAGGCTTCTACTGCTATAGCTGCAGCTATGTTAAGAGTAGTAAAAGGGATTAAGGCTTAAATATAAGTTAAAGCCTTTATAAAAATAAAATTAAAATAGTAAAAATTTTTAATAAGTGCTAGTAGCGCTACTTGCATAGACTTAAAAAAAAGAAATAAAGTAGTTTTAAAAAATATAACTATGCTTACTATACTTAAAGCATTAACTTTTTTTTTATAATCTTTATACTTTTTAAAACTAACTAGAGCATAATTTAAATTAATTTTTATTATGTTAAGGTCCTTATTTATAACTACACTAGTTTAGAGGTGTATTAAAGCTTATATAAAGAGGAACCTTATATTATTATTGTAGGTAGTAATTAGGTTTACATATGTATTAAGGTTATTTAAGAAGGGTTCTCCTACTATAGCGCGTTACAGTTTAGTTAAGAGAAAGTTATATAAAGCTATAATTAAACCTATCTTATTTAAGCTTATATTAAATGTAAGTTAGCAGAACTTAGTAAAGTGTAAAGTAAAGCTTTTTTTTATTTTTATAAAGTGTTTAGGTAACTTAAGGCTGTTAACTTTTTATTTAAGTCTTTATAAGTTACTTATAAAAACACTATAAATTAATCTAGGTTAATAATATTTTTATTTATTAGTAAGTTAATTAAAGCTATTACATTATAGTTAAGTTAAAAGTAGGCATATAGTAACTAAAAGTATTTAAAAGGGAATTAGTCTATGTTTTCTTTAAGTTTATATTAAAGCTTATGTAAAAAGGAAGGTAAGTCTTTCTATTTTCTATTAAACAGTAGGGAATTAGAGAGTTAGTTAGATTTTATTACTAAGTTAAAAAAGTTATAAGTTATAAGTAGTATTAAGTAGAAAAAAGTTAAGCTATCTTTAAACTTCTAGGTAAGCTTTAAGGCTAGTAAGTTTTTAGTTTCTACTACTATAACAAAAGTTAAAGTAGAAATAGACTGCTTAATAATATAAAGCTATTCTTTAAAGTTCTTTTAAAAAGCTTTAAAGCTTACAACATAGTAGCTTTTTTATAAAGTAAGTGCTTTTTAGAAAGCTTTTTAGCTTACTTTAATAGCTTAAAGTTATGTAAGTACTAAGCTTATTAGATTAGATTTAGAGGCTATTCTTAGCTAAAGTTTTAACATAATGTAATGTTATAATTATGCACAAGTAAGGTTATAGAGCTTTATAGAGGTCTAGTTTAATTACTATGTAAGGTATTATAGTAGGTATAAGATGTTATGTAAGGAATAAAAAAGTTTAGAAAGAAATTAGTAATTAAATACTTAGCTTAAAAGTCTAAGCGCTTTAGGTATAAATTAAGCCTGTTCTAGGTTTAGTTAGTGTTAAGGCAGTTTATGCTTAAGTTTATGTCTGTGTTATGTTGTGTTTGTGTTAGACGTGCACTAATAATACTCTAGTACACGTCTAATACAGTTATGTCTGGGATCCGGGGAGGATACCGTGACAGGTATATAGCTAAAAAGATCTTATTATTATTCTAGTACTTAATAAACTTTATTAAAACATGTAATCTATAGCTATCTAGAAATAAAAGTTAGTACACTTATTAAGCCTTTACTTTAGTTTTATAATTAAACACATGTTTAAGCTATACTAGGCCTAGTTTATTATCTCTTTAACTTACAAATAATAAAGTAAAAAAAGCTTAATACTTAAAAAAGTTAAAATTTTATAGCTAAAAGTTTTATATATAACTAGTTAAAAATAGCTTAGTAAATTAGCATAGGCGTAAAAGAGGTACTATTAGTGTAGATGCAGGCTATTATTATAATCTACTTATAATTACTATTTTATATAAGCTGCTACTTAATACCTTGCTTATACTACTATTTAAAGAAAATTTACTTTATTTTTAATAGTACTTTAATTAGAAAGCCCTTTTTATCTATATTATAAGTATGCTATAGTTTTATAGTATAGTTTTATGGTATATTACTTACTTTTTTTTACATATAAGCTTAAAATATAGTAAGTACTTAAATGCTAAGCTAGCTTTGTTACACATAGCGTCTATGCTAGATGTCTATTAAAATAATAAGTTAATAAAGTGCTTTTTAATTAATTAATTAACTTAGCTTTTACTAGCTTACTTACTACTTATTTTTATATAAAATTTTAAATTATTTATTTTAAAAAAAATAGACTTTTTATATAAAGTCTATTAATGTACTCTACTAGCTTTTTTTTTTATACTAAGCTAAGTAGTTACTAATTTTTAAGTTTCTCTGCACATAGGTAAGTAACGCGTTAGTAACGCCTTAAAAGTATAAATTAATTAACGCTATACTGCCTAGCTACTACAGCATAATTTAGTAATTCTTTAGGTTTTAGCAATTTTAGCAACTCTAAAGCAGCCTTAATACTGCCTATATTAGTTAAGAGAGAGGTAGTTGAAGTTTTAACAGCTTCGCGCAGAATTGTGCATTACGCGAGGCCGTGCATTACACGCTAAAACACAGTAATGTAACCTTACAGGCAAGTTAGCCACACAGGCGACGAGTTGGCCACTCTGCCAAGACCCTACTAAAACTATGCACTTGTATCATACAACGCGATGTCTTAACAACAACACAAGATAAGACCTTATAAAAAGCTAGATTACAGCTTACACTTTAAGCTATTACTGTGTTTTAGCGCGTAATGCACGGCCTCGCGTAATGCACGGCTCTGCGCAAAGCTGTTAAAACTTTAACTACCTCTCTCTTAACTAATATAGGCAGTATTAAGGCTGCTTTAAAGTTGCTAAAATTACTAAAACCTAAAAAATTACTAAATTATACTGCAGTAGCTAGGCAGTATAGCGTTAATTAATTTATGCTTTTAAGGTGTTACTAACATGTCACCTGCTTATGTGTAAAGAAACTTAAAAATTAGCAACTACTTAGCCTAGTGCAGAAAAAAGAGCTAGTAGAGTATATTAATAGACTTTACACAAAATATTTATTTTTTTTAAAATAAATAATTTAAATTTTTATAATAAAAATAAGTAGTAAGTAAGCTAGTAAAAGCTAAGTTAATTAATTTATTAAAAAACACTTTATTAACTTATGATTCTAATAAACATCTAGCATAAACGCTGCGCATAACAAAGCTAACTTAGCATTTAAGTACTTACTATATTTTAAGCTTGTATATAAAAAAAATTAAGTAATATAGTATAAAACTATAGCATACTTATAATATAGATAAAAAGAGCTTTCTAATTAAAGTACTATTAAAAATAAAGTAAATCTTTTTTAAATAGTAGTATAAAAAAAGCACTAAGCAGCAGCTTATATAGAATAGTAATTGCAAGTAGATTATTATAATAGCCTACATCTGCGCTAATAGTAGCTCTCTTACACCTACGCTAATCTATTAAGTGTTATAATCCTTACTTAGTAGGGTTTTATTAGATGCTGTAAGCATGCAGGCCTTATAAGTTAAGTTATAAGAGGGGGTAGAAAAACCTGCTTTAGATGTACAGTTCTTAGTATAGTCTAGGTGTAGAGATAGTAGAGTAGCTAAATTATAGTTTAGGCTTTAACAGTAGTATAGGGCGCTTAGTTAAACAGTTTATAGAATAGAAGAGAAGGTGTATATAGTACAAGATACACAATTAGTATTGCAGCTTATTAGAAAGCTAGAATGCTACTTAGTCTATAGAAATAGACTACATGTTAATTACACCTTTTAAAAGTTAGTCTTATTAGCAGAGCTTGCTCTGCTTATTATATTCAGGTTTGCAGAACAAAAAGTTTAGCAGAATCTCCTCTTTTAAACGCGCTAGTTAGTTATAATTTCTTTAAATAAACCTTAGTAACACTATTTCTCTATCACCTTATGTATTTCTTACATTTTTTTAAAAAAAATGTATACTTAATATAGGTGCACTTTTATGTTAATTTACATGTAGTTTGCTTTAGCATGTGTTATATAAAACATGTTTAAATTATAGTTAGTTGCGTCTATTCTACCTCTCTAGCTACATTAGTGTGTTAGGGATTTGCATCAGCCACGCTTAGTTGCAGGCTGTGGTAGGTTGTGTGCTGCACATGTTTATCCTACTATAGTTAAATGTTGTTGTTATGCGTCTATTACCTATCTAATACTACTTTACTAAGCATTATGCTATAACGTACCTAACGGGTTGGCCGGCCACACAGGTTGGCCGGCCACTTTTGCCAAGCCCCCACTAAAACCACCCCATTCTGGCGCAAAACAGCCTACTTTAGCCCTGTATAAAGTAATACAACACAAGATATTATTTAGAGTCTACTTCTGCTACTTTTTTACATATATGCAAGTTATGCCTAGTTTAATTGCACTGCCTGCATTACCTTTAACTTAGCTTACCTTCTTTAGCGCGCACCTGCGTCTTTAGCTTCTTCCTATTACTACGCGCTCTAAACTCCTTTAGAGCAGTTAAACAAGCTCTATTCTTAACTATTAAGGTTTTTTTTGCCTAAATCTGCTTTTTTTATGTAATTTATGTTACATAGCAGCCTTATTGTTACGGCCAACAGTCAGACCGTAATGACCCAACTGGCTGTCCCACACAGCCCGAACGATGTCGGATGGAAGGCGCTTAGCCCCGCGCTAAGCGAATTACGTGACAGGACAGATAAGGAATGGCTTCAGCTTTTAGACAAAAGCCTCACAGAATGCACTGTCTAATAGGGACCTAAGCATTGCAGGCAATGCAGGCGCTGCAGGCAGTTGCAGGCAATGCATGCAACACCTGCAACGCATGCAGACGCATGTAAACCCTATGTATATAGTTCTAATCACAACTATAGTTAAGAAGTTATAATTACTATTAAGTCTATTTCTATACCCTTTATTTAATAAACTAAGAAGCTGTAATACTTCTATAAAGTCTACTGCTGCCTTATATATCTTGCACTATATATACCTTTACTTCTATCCTTACAGATTAAGTTTACTAGCTCCCTATACAGCCACTAGGTTAAACCACAAGCCTGCCTACTCTCTACCTTGCATTACCCTGTACTCTGCTTAACAGACTGTACACCTAATCTAGCTAAGTTCTACCTCTTCTGTTAACATATTATTATAGGCTAATGTACTTCTAAAAACATTATTTTGCTAAAGTAAAGATTATAACAGTAATTACTACCTCTTATAAAGTATAGCTACTACTACTTTAGACATTAGCATAACAGGTGCTTTAGCTGCTAGCACTAGCTAGACCCCTACAGCAACTAAAGAAGTATAAAATTAATAAATACTTTACCTCTAGAACAAGCTTAAACAGCTTAAACAACACTTCTAACTTTAAGCATAGTAAAGACCCTTAAATGTTTACTAAGTCTAAGCCCTCTAGTTAGAAGTAGCAAAACTTTAAAATATTATTTAAAAAAAAACTAGTATTAAATCTAAAAAGACTCTATATTTAGCCTCTTTTAAAGCATTTAACAGCTTTGCTAAAGACCTAAAACTCTTCTTTACTAAGTGCTACTTTTACATGTAATATAATAAAGGCGCTTTTAAGATAAAAAATTTTTTTTATAAATAGGCCTACACTTAAAAAAATTACCTGCTATTTAGTTTTAACTTTATGCTAATAACTAGATAAACTATAAGGCAAGTAGCAACTTTTTATTACTAGAGATATAAAAAATCTTTAATAGCATTAATTTATTTAAAGCAGCCCTAACTATAATTTATAGGCTAGTTAATAAAGAAAAATAAGCAGTTAATAAAATAAATGCCCTCTAATAGGGCAACAGCTCTGTCTAACAATATGCAGCCTGCTTCTAGGAACTGCTAGCCATCTGCAGATAGACAGATAAGAAGGCTATAAAGTAAATGTTCTATAAAGGGCTCTTAGACATTATTAAAGATAAATTTACTTATAATAAAAAGCCTAAGAACTTTAAGAATTACATTAAAAAAGCGCTTACCTACAACAAAAGACATGCTAAACACTATAGTAAAAAAGAAAAGGGCTAGACAACTGTAAAACCTAACTAGTTTTAAAAAAAAAAGAAAGCTTTATAAATTAACATAAAGCTAATAGACCTTAGTTACGCTAAACACACACATAGCTTCTCTAAAAAAAAGAACTATACCTTTAAAAATGTAAAGCTACCCTTAAATAAAGAATAGAAGAAATAGCTTAAAAAAAAGCATACCTTAACTATAAAAAAGTAGGTTACTTCTATTAAAAATGCCTAGACTCTAAACAACTAAAGAATAAAGATAGCAAATTAACTATAAAAGTAATGCATATAGAATAAGGCCTAATAAGATAAGAGATTCTAGACTAGCTAGATAAACACCTCTATTAGTAATGTAAAAATAATTATAAATCTAAAAAGTGCCTAATAAAATACTAGAAAGTTAAGGTAAAAGACACTAATAAAGTCTTTAGAGCACTAGAACAAGCTGCTGCCTACAAAAAATAGTAAGGCTATACCTAAGCTACAACATATATTGCAAATGTTAAAAAAGAGAAGGAAAAGTTTCTTTTAAAATAACTAATAACAGAAATCTTAGCTTAAGAGCTAAAATACTAATTTATCTATAAAAACTGCTAGAAATGTGGCAACACACACTATTAAAAAAATGTAAGAAATTAATGTATAAAGTATACATTAATAATAATGCTAAAACTTACAGTATACTAAAAGAAATTACTAAAACACATTTTACAGTTATAAACATAAATAAATAATAAAAAATGTTCTAGAAAATTCTTAACAAAGAAGAAGGCCTAGACTAGTAATACACACTACTAATAACACTAGATCTATGCTAAGAACAGAATAACACACCTCCCCTAGCACTAGCTATTACCTGCAAGAATCTTAAAATACAGTAAGACAAAGAGTACTGTATTTCTTATAGCAGTAAATAACATAATAAGTTTTAATACACTTACTAAAGCCACCTATTGTAAATTATTAAAACTAAGGAATACTCTAGGTGGACACAGGTCTAACTAATACTAGTACAAAACAACTTTAAAGAGTGTCCCTACACCTAGTACCTATGCAGTAATAAGTACTGCTTTAAGCACTAGCTAACTAAACATAGGGCTAGCTAGTAGCTACACAGGACACAGGAAAGTTCACTTAAGAACAACACACTAGCCGGCATAGCATCTACCTGTAAAATGCTACACTGTCTCTACTGTAAAAACAGCATAAATTACAAGCAAGAACTATAGACAAAGTGCAATAATAAGACAGCATGCACGTTCTACTACTTTTAATAAAAGGCACACTAACAGGATAATTAAATGCCATATCACTATAAAATAGAAGACTCCCAGTGCACTATATTAGAATGCATAATACTAGGACACTAGAAATACAAGGTATAATTAGACTAGATTATAGAATACAAAAATACAGCTAAAACTGTTAACAAAAATAACAGAATAGACTATAAAGAAACACCTTATAAACTCTACATTTTTATTATAGTTAGATAAGAACTAGGATAAAGCCTAACAACTAAAATTACTCTCTAATAACTAGGCTAGAAATAGGAAGAACTTGCCTTAATTAACAGTAGATGTATGTTTATAGTAATTAATTTAAGATAAGTTAACTAGAATAACATACCCTTCTAAAGAAAAAAAAACCTTTTTAAAGTATCTTTAGCTAACACCTTATTAATAAAATATAAAGTAAGATAAATTTAACTTAAAATAAAAGAACTTATTACTAAAGCTAAAAAATTAAAGATTAGATATTCTTTAACATATTACTACTAAAAAGTAAATACTAAGCAATTCTAGGCTATAACTAGCTTTATAAACATAACCTAATAATTAATTAGCAAACCCTATTACTAGTTCTCTAAGGTAATAAACAAGCAGTATAAGCAGTATCTTAAGAGAACCTAGATAAAACTTATCTATAAGAAAAACTAAAAAGATTTCTTTATTAAGAACTAAAAGCATAGGCTGTTTACTAAATAAAAAAAAAACTAAAAGAAATCTCTTTTAAAGAATTTAAAAAAAATAAGACCTTAACTAAGTTAAAATCTACTAAATAGCCTAAAAAGTAAGCAGACTACTAGAAAAATATTAAAACTACAAAGATATGTTTAAAACTCTAGAAAATCTAGAAGAACTGCTACTACACTAACTCTAGAACTACGCAATTAACCTTAAACTAAACCTATAACTAAAAACTTACAAATTATAACCTCTAACAAAAGCTTAGAAGAACGCATTGCAAGAATATGTAGACTAAATGCTAGCTTAAGAACACATTAGAGAAAGCAATAGTTTAATAGCATTAGCAGTAGTCTTTATAAAAAAAAAGAATAGCAAGGTAAGAGTGTATTAAGACTACTAAACTCTAAATAATAACACTATAAAAGACTAGTATTTTTTACTAATTATCTAAAACATTATAAATTAACTTAAAAGAACTAAGCATTTTACTAAGTTTAATGTCTAAGACAGATTTAATAAAATAAAAATTAAAAAAGAACATAAGTAAATAACAGCCTTTTAGACACTAAAAAAACTATATAAACTTCTTATTATGCTATTTAGACTAACTAACGCCCTAGCAACCTTCTAACAGGTTATTAACACTGCACTTAACCCCTACCTAGATATATTTGTACTTGTATACTTAGACAATGTCCTAATATATACTAAAAAAGACAGACTAGACTACATATCTAAAGTAAAGCTTATACTTAACTAACTCTAATAATATAGGCTCTACCTGTAACTAGAAAAATATAAGTTTAATGTATAAAAAACAAAATATTTAAGATTTATTATTAATAAAGAAGAAATAAAAATAAACCTTACTAAAGTAAGTAAAGTACTTAACTAGCTAACACTAATAATAGTAACAAAAATTAAAGGATTTCTAGGCCTTACTAGCTACATATAAAGAATAATTAAAGACTACTCTAAAATAGCGCTCCCCCTTACAGACGCTACCTTAAAAGAAAGGGCAACAGAAAAGTTCTAATAGATAGCAGAAATAAAAGAAGCTTTTTAGAAACTAAAATAAATAGTAATAAGCTACTCTGTCTTTAAGATGTACAACCTCTTATTAGAAACAAAAGTGCATATAAACGCCTCTCTAAAAGTAGAGAGAGCAGCACTCTTCTAAAAATAAGAAGATAGCTAATAGCATTTAGTAGCTTATTACTTAGTAAAATTTACACTATTAGAGTAAAAATATACTATCCTTAACAAAGAACTAAAAGCTATAGTTAATACATGTAGAAATTAGAAAGTTAAGCTTTAAAGCCTTAGTTAATAATTTATAATTTTTACTAACTATGTAAACTTTATTACTTTCCTTACTACTAAGAAACTATTACTAATGCATATATAATAGGCTATAGAACTTGCTTAATTTAATTTTATTATTAAACATGTAGTAAGAAGCAGTAATTAGCAGGCTAATGCCTTAAGCAGGCGCACAGACTATTTTAAGACTAATAAAAAAAATTCTAAAGAATTTATAATCTTTAAAAAAACTCTAGAGGGACTAGTCTATAAAGAACCTAACTAAAAGAAACTACTATGTTCCCTTATAATAGTTAAACAAGAATAGAAGAACTTAATAAAAAAATATTATAAAGCCTCTATGTTTAGACACCTAGAAATTAGGTTGCTATAAAAGAAAATTAAAACTATAATACCCTAAGAGATACCCTAGCTAAAA